AGGGTTTCTTCCTCTCCGAGTCGGGGTAAGACGCCATCGCTTTTGGATCACGTTTCCTCTTCTTTTGTTTTGGCGCGTATTTACTTTGCTGTCGCCTCATGCATTTCTTGAATTCATGATTGTTCTTTTGAGTGCACATTTGAATTGGATTTTTTCTGTTATTTTTCGACAGGGTTTTGATCTGTAAGTGCTTTGATCGATTGATCTTGCGTGTTTTTAGATGCCGATCTTGTCGTTGCTAGATTATCTGGAACCTGATTAGTTTCTTTTCATTTGTTATTAGTGGGTAGCGGACGGTGTTCTCTCGCCGGGCCTAGAGATGGCCCCTCCTCAGCCGAACACCGGTCTCTTTGTTGGGCTCAACAAGGGGCACATCGTCACCAGGAGGGAGTTGCCCCCTCGTCCTTCCAGCAGAAAAGGGGTATGGATCTGAAGTCCCTGAGAGATGGAGGTTCTGATCTCTTGTTGACAGTCATTTCTGATATAGTTGGAAATTGCGGGTGTTTATGTTTTTTCCGTTCTTAGATGGTCTTTTTCGTAGATGGGATATTAACGATCAAGAAATTAATGCATGAAGAGGTTGAAGGGTAAGTTTTATATGAAGAGGAATCAGTGATTGATCCATTCTGTTAGCTTACTTGGACAAGTTGTATAGAATTCTATGGCAACTAGTGAGCTACATGGTGGTTTAGCAACTCTAGTTGGCAGGAGTTCTTTCTGGTGCGTTCTGTAGAGTCTTTCACAATATTGTTGAAGCATATGATGATGATATACTTCAGAGCAAGAGACTTTTATCATATTGTTAATGATCAACTCCATCTACATTTCTTGTCATTTGAAGTAGCACACAAGCACTGACATCTGTGATGTAGAATTCTAATGTAGAGTATCCCTTGTGCTTCAAAAACTGTTCAAGAGGAACAGTGGGCTATGCCTCAAATTGATGAAATGGTTGTCTAATTAAACAGTTCATTCATTTGAGGTAGCCATTTAAGAGGAGTGAGTCCAAGATAAACATCAGTGGGCTATGCCTCAATGAGGTAGCTAGGCTATTTCTTTAATTCAGAATTGTGGTTATTTTCTCTTCACTATATGTTGATTTTTTTAGGAGTCAGAATTTCTGACAGTCTTCAGATTATATTCAAAGGAGGAAAGGCCAAAAAATTATTTATTTTTTACATACACTTAAGTTTATATTTGCTTGAATTTTATGCTGTAAAACTGATCATTGTTGGACAATCATATGCAGAAAACTAGCAAGAGGGTGCATTTTGTTAGGAACTTGATCAGGGAAGTGGCTGGGTTTGCACCTTATGAGAAGAGGATTACGGAGCTGTTGAAAGTTGGAAAGGACAAGCGTGCACTGAAAGTTGCTAAGAGAAAGCTGGGTACACACAAGAGAGCCAAAAAGAAGAGAGAGGAGATGGCTAATGTTCTCCGGAAGATGAGGTAAGGGGCTTTTTTTAAAAATCTAAATCTACATGCTATTTATTTCTTTTTGATGATAACTAAATGTAACATGAGCTATCTGTTCTTAAATTAAATCTAATTATTCATGCCCAGAACAGTGCTGGTTGTTAGAATAGGGCAACAAATAAAATCAGAGAATTTTGTTATAATGATTTGATCGAGAATTTTTTTCTGTCCATTCCAATTGTATTTCACATCATGGACATCTGTCCCTTTGTTGTTTGATACATAATCAGACTTCAACAACACTTGGAAATTCTAGAAGAGCATCTTAATTTTAATGCTGTTTTTTTTTCTCTGCATTTTTTTCAGACACAACTGGTCTAAATTTAACTATTGTTGCTTATTCATAATGTTGTAATGAACTGCAAGATGAGGCATGTAGCCCAATGGGCTAAGTAGAATTGGGTGCATGACTCTTTTTGCTTCATCACAAAATTGTTGTTGATTTGCATGTAAAGAGTAACCAAATAAGGCTGTTATATCTTGTTAAAAAATGCAGCATTGAGTTAAGTGAGCATAACTATCCAATAAATTTTGTATTTTGGGATGGATAGTTGGTTCTTTTGGGAGGATAGATGATTATGGTTGGTGTATGAAAATTTTAATTGTCAGCTAGGTAAATGGCCTTTGATTGCCATTTCATATGTTCATTAGCAGTATGAAGGATGTTAAACACATTTCTGGTGTAGACTTGGCTAGGTTTTGAATGGCTAGTGATTGTAATTGGAAGATTAAATTTGTAAGGTCTCTAAGGCCTCTTATATTCGAGGGATTGTTACAGGCTAGCTGCTCAATGTGATGTTTGGATCAGAATTATGCAGTTTCCTTGCTTATCTCCCCTAATTGTGACAGCCTCCACTCACTTCCCTTCATCCTTGTGTTCCTGTTTTTATTTTCATCATGTCCCCTTTTCTTCTCTGTATCAGTTGCTTCCATACTTTACAAGCTGATGGAACTTGGTGCCTTTCTCATTGTTGCTGAACTCTAGCACAAGCTAAGCTCATTGAGCTAAGATTGAGTTAACTCTTATAGGGCGAATAATTAGGATTTAAGCCTCTATGGAGTTTTGGTATGGTAGCTTTCTTGGGAGCCTAATTTGGTCGACCAGCACCTCAAGTTGAATGCTCGCGGAAAATGTTAGCTGATAACATGTTAAGCAGGGTAGCATTTCTGACTCCACTTACTCTATTGGAGCTTCACCTGTATGCATTGATGGCCTGATACCTATTTGTTTTTGTAGGAAATTTTCCATTTTTGATCTTTACCTTCAAATCTTTTATCACTGTCTTATAAAAAATTTTGCTCATTTGTTAAGTTTTTAAGCTGTAATATTTTCATATCTAACTGTCGCAGAATAACTGATTGCTATTAGGTTAGAAAAAACTTATTCCAGTTCTTGTAATGTAAGCTAACTTTAGTTAAAAAGTTTTCAAGGTTTTTGTTGATTTTGATAAGTCCAGAAGATTGTGATATATTTTGGCATGATTCTTTTAACATATAACTAAACATACTGATCTATCATGAACTGCACTTGCACTCATGCAATATAATTTTTGTTACCCTTGTTGAAGTTGAGGCTCAATTCGGAATGAGATATTCAGTTTGTTGATGTTACAATCTTTTCCAGAGGAACATTTTGCTGCATAATCCATCACAGCTCTGTTGATATAATATTTAATGTGCTACTTATTTCTGAAAAATCTCAATACTACCCTTTATATGAAACTATATTGTTTCTCTCTTGTCCTAAATGATCATTGTGAAGTTGACCAAAACAGCAACCTTTGAACATTAGGATGATCTATGACAGTCTTTATTTATGGATGTACATAGATTTTACTGCCCCTGATAGTAGTTTTGGGGCCATATCAAACATCAACAAGCATAAGTTGTTAAAAAGTAGATATCTGTTTAAATTTTTTGTATAAAGTAGCAGCAGTTCCTAAATGTGACTTTTTATCTTTTTGGTTATCATTCTTTGGATAGCAACCTCCGTCCCTTGGACCACTTCTTTTGTAGATAAAGAGTCCAAAATTTAATTCAACTTAACATGATTACAATAATATTATCCCTCATCTTTTAATTTCTCATGTGGTTTTTCCATGTGCAGGTCTGCTGGAGTGAGCGAAAAGAAGAAATGATGATACCCCCTGCAAAGCCTTAACTTTGTCATCATGCAATTAGATTTTATATTTGATGTTTCAGCACGATGGAATGTTGACCTACAGAAATGTTGGCGATTGGAATCAAGGCTGGTTTGTGTCTGTTCTCTTTTAGTATTTTTTTAATGTGATCAGATAAAACCTTCTGCCAAATCTTCTTTACACATTATGATGCATTGGAAGCTGCTTGCCTTGTCGTCTTAATCAAATGTTGAACTTACTTTTATCTCGTGTTACTCTAGTAATTATTAGTGGCATGTTATTTTTAAAATACTATTACTAGCGAGAATGTTCTGTCGGCTTAATCAAATTATTTAACTGAGTGTGTTGCTCTAGTAATTATTAGTGGAATGTTATTTTTAAAATCCTATTACTACATGTTTCTATTGGCAACTGTGCGACAATGTAAAATAACAGATTCGATGGTCTGTAGTCTATCTTTGAAATGGTGTTGGTCAATCGTCAAACCGTGCGTTATCGGATTGTACTCGACTCTTTTTTGTTTTTACATTGTAAGGTGCGTGTTTCATCTGTTTGAGCTCAACCAGAATCACTGTCTCCTTTAAAGTGGATAATTAAAAAGCAGCGACCATAAGCTGCCTCTCCTAAAAAGCTTCCCATCTCCTCCCTTGAGATTCATATTGGCAAATCGTTAGTATCTTTATCTTTTCTTTTCTATTTGGTTCGAGCTGTAAAGGATTATGCAATCTGCACAACATCTGAACTATCTTCCATTTTTATTGGCGGTTCAAGGGCTTAATAGATAGATAGAGTGGAACGATAATGGTGCTCTTCCTCCCACTTCTTTTTTTGTCTTAGGTGGATCGCACAACATCTCATAGGTGGAGTCGACTACTGTCTTGATGTTTAACCCCGAGCTCAACTTTTCTCTTTCAGCGATGCCTGTTGTCAACTGGAACACTGAAAGAGGTTGTTGAAGCTTTCATGATGCTTATTTTGTGAATGAATTATGATACTATTTGAGATCATATCACCATAATAAAAGTTGCATGTCAAATGGGTTGTGTTGTTTCCTCTCAAAGCTCACACTTGCTCTTTCTATGTGCTCGTCATGATAGTATGCAGTACAAAAAAATCTCTCTCTCTCTAGTTGCATGGAAGTTACATAAACATGTGTGCACTAACTACTAGAGTGTGCTCATAACCAAGAAAGAACAATTACCTAGTTCATTAGATTCGATGCAAGCCTAATGTCTAAATGATCTGACGACACCTACCCAGATAAACTGGCTCCTCTACTCGTCTCTCACACGACGACGACGACCTTCTTTTGGGATGTGCATTCACTGTATACCGAATGTCAAAAGAATAGATCTGCAGCAGCCAAAACTAAAGAAAGCAAACCAAACTAGAATTTCATGGGGAGTTGGGATTCCCGATGGCGTAGATAGATTCCAGTAAATTTTGGAGGGACAGAAGTCCAAAAAAAGATGCCGTAACAGTCAAAGAATAGGCTCCAAAGTTCTAGAAAAGATAAAGGAAACCTCGTCATGCATCATGACCGAGTTCTTTGATTGCATGCCATTGAGGATATTGGTAGTCTTCCAACACTTGAGCAGCCATCGTTTGAGATTCCAGTAATAAGCAAGTTTCCTCGTTTACATCAAGGAAAGATGCATGGAATAGTGATCATGTTCTTCTTCCTTGATTACTCCAGTTGTTCCTTCTCCAACCCATGGCAAAAGTAGGGTTCCAACGCTTAGGTTACATCCTGTAAAAGCTCGGCTCAGGTCATGACCTGAAAACTACGAGATGTTCTTAGTTGAGGAGCTGAATACCGATAGCTGTGTCGCCCAACCTCCGCTGTTGGTGCTGCCGCCTTCACCACCACCACCACTCCAGTATTGCTCAGTTCCGAGAAGATCTGAACACTGCCTTGGCAAACGTAGCCCGTGGGAGTTGTCTTCTATCTTCGCCGAAACTACGCCTTCTCCGTTGAGACGGTACGCGGGCGGCTCTGGTCGTGGCTCTAGTCCTCCCAGGAAAGGGAATTGCTGGATCTGTGGTTTCCTCCACCGCTCGAGCCCGACACCCAGGCTGCTCCTTCCTACCTGATACCCTGCCGGATCGACGAGAGTGTGCATGGCGGAGAAGAAGGGTCGCTCGGCGTTACCACCGCCCGCGGCGGTGGAGGATGAGGATGAGGTACCAGCCCGACGGTCAGCGGTGGAGGTAGTGGCGGTTGATTTGGAGGAGCTTCCCGAGGATTTGTTCCGCTTGTTGCGACGGCAGGCTCCGCCCACAGGGACGTTTCGGAGGGCGCCGCCTCGGGTCCAGTAGCGTCGACAGGTCTTGCAGAAGTGGCGGGGCTGCGAGAGGGAATAGTTATTGAAGTAGCAGAACTTGGTGTCGCTGGAGTCGCACCGCGGGCACTTGTGCGGCTGCTCGGGATGTGGGATCTTCGCGAGGAGAGCTCGTTCTGCCATGGAGATAGGCCTGGCCGACCCTGCAGCTGCCACACCAGCTTCCGTTCCCTGCGCTTCCAACCTCGGGAAGAGCTGAGAAGCCTCGCTGCCTCCGCCTGCAGCGGCCAGAAACTGAAAGCTCTGTAGCCAAACGTGCCATAGAGTGAGAGAAAAATAAGGAAAAGAACGCGATTATCTCCTTCTTTTCGATGAAGAAGCCAAAGTAATCTTAAGCTTACAAGGAAGAGAAGAAGAGTAAGGTAGTAACACACACCTGGTTCCGTTCAGGTGGATCCAGATAGGTTGGGACAGAGGAGAAAACCATCTTCTTTTCTTTCCAGTAATCTTTCTCGAAGACGAAAGGATGTGAAAGGAGGTGGAGAATCAAATATCCACAAGTGGTGGCAAAGAGAGGAATGGAGTAGGAAGAAGGATTCGTTTCTTTTCTTCCATGGTGTCTTTATACGGTAGGGTTAATGGCTGAACGATGGGGTTGGAGAGAGAGAGAGAGAGTTGCTTGGTCTCTAAGGATCTCATTGCTGACGAGGGGAGCACTAGTATGGAGAGGCTACATGGAAAAGCCGAGAGATCCACGTGACTGCGAGCCTCGGCCCAAATTAGCATCCGGCCCAACGATGTCAAGAAAGCCGGCCCGTATTCCTATTATTCAATCCGGTTTTAGTGGGCTTTAATTTGGGCCCATAACATTTCCATTCCAAGAGGGCTTCCGTTATAAAATGACCTTCGCCGCCGTCTTCGTTTCCTCTCGTTTCTTCATGAGCAGCGGGCGCACTACATCACAGTCGACGATCTGGCAAAGTGGCCCGAGAGGACTGCTTCCCTCCGCCGCCTCCCCGCCCGAAGATTCTCCACGTTCAGCCCCTCGGCGGAACCCGCCTCCAATGGCATCCGCGCCCTCGCCGGCCACCCGAACGCCGATATCTCCCTCTTCCCGCGGCTCGGATTCGCCCCCGTCACCGGCTCCTTCGCCGGTAGAGCAATCCATTGCTTCTCTCTCAGGCGCTCCCTCAGCCTCGGCCTGTTCCACTGCAACACTCTCATCCACATGTGTTTTCAACACGGTAACGCCGTGGGGGCGCTCTATCTGTTCGACCGTTTGCCTGAGAGAAATTGTTCGTCGTGGAATACTGCTATTTCAGGCTGCATCCGTGTCAGATTGTTCGCCAAAGCTGTTGAGTTGTTCGGGCGGATGAGAGACGATGGCGTGATGCCCAATGGGTTTGTGCTCGCCAGCCTTTTGACCGCTTGCAACCGGTGGACGAACATGGTCACTCGAGGTTTCGAGATTCATGGTTTTGCATTGAAACTTGGGTTAGCGACCGATCTATATGTTGGAACTTCTCTGCTGCATATGTATGGCAGTCGTGGAATGGTGTTTGATGCTCGTAGATTTTTCAGGGATATGCCTGAGAGGAATGTCGTGTCATGGACTGCTTTGATGGTGGGCTTTTCAGCTAATGGGTACCCTGAGGAAGCCATGAGGGCTTATCGTGAAATGAGACTGGAAGGCGTGGTATGCAATCAGAACTCTTTTGCGACAGTGATTAGTTCTTGCGGATTGCTCGAGGACAAGAAGGTGAGCCTTCAAGTCATAGGACATGCTGTGGTTTGTGGATTTGAGACTGAAGTTTCAGTGGCAAATGCTCTGATTACGTTATTCGAAAACCTGGGAAGAAGAGAGGATGCTGAAAATTTATTTCAACGGATGACAGAACGAGACACGATAACATGGAATTCTATGATAACGCTGTACTTGCATGAGGGAGCCTGCGAAGAACCTTTGCAGTTGTTTTCTGATATGCGCCACCATGAATTGGTGCCTGATGCCACGACTGTGTCCAGTCTGATCTCAGCTTGTGCTTGTTTGGAATACTTGAATTGGGGAAGAGGTATTCATGCTCTAAGCATCAGAAATGGTCTCAGCCTATTTGTTTCTGTGAATAATACTCTTATCAATATGTACTCGATGTCAGGTAAGCATAAAGCTGCCGAATTATTATTCTGTCACATGCCACAAAGGGACCTAATTTCCTGGAATACAATGATCTCTGCCTATGCTCAGAGTGGGCTATCGTTTGATGCACTGAGGCTTTTAAGCTATTTGCTTCGGGAAAACAAAGAAACAAATCATGTGACATTTGCTACTGCAGTTGCTGCATGCGCAAGTCCTGAATCCTTCTTGGTCGGCAAGATGATTCATGCACTCATAATTCTTCTAGGACTTAAAGAAAATTTGGTGGTCGGTAATGCTTTAATAACCATGTACAGCAAGTGCAAGGCTATGAGAGAAGCTCTGTGGGTTTTGCAGGCATTGCCCAATTATGATTTGGTTACATATAACACACTTATCGGAGGACATGTAGAGAACGAAGAACAAAGGGAGGCAATGCAAGTGTTCAACCAGATGAGAAAAGCTGGGGTTAGGGCAAACTATATCACCATAGTCAATATCCTGGGGGCATTTTCAGATCCTCGTGATCTGATGAAGTACGGAAAGCCGGTTCATGCTCATGCACTGTCAACCGGATTAGAATCTGATGAGTTTGTTAAGAACTCGCTTCTCACGATGTATGCAAAGTGTGGTGATCTTGATTCTAGCATATATATATTTGATGGATTAGAAAGCAAGACTGCGGTTTCGTGGAATGCTATGATTGCGTCCAAAGCTCACCATGGTCAAGGAGAGGATGCTTTTAAGCTCTTCATGGAAATGCGACATGCTGGAAACGAACTTGATCAGTTCAGCCTGTCAGGGGGCCTCGCAGCTAGTGCAAGCTTGGCATCGGTAGAGGAAGGGCAGCAATTACATGCTCTAGTTATCAAACTTGGATTTGACTCAAACCTTCACGTGATCAATGCAACAATGGATATGTATGGAAAATGTGGTAAGATGGATGATGTGTCAAAGATAATTCCTGTGCCAACGAAGCGGTCGCAGCAATCATGGAATATCATCATATCAGTGTATGCTAGACATGGTTGTTTTGATAAAGCTGAGGATACTTTCAGAGAGATGTTAGAAATTGGATGCAGACCTGATTATGTTACCTTTGTTTCCCTCCTATCTGCATGTAATCATGCAGGATTGGTGGACAAGGGTTTTGCTTATTACAAGTCAATGACCTCGGAGTATGGTATCTCCCCGGGTACAGAACATTGTGTCTGTATGGTCGATCTGCTAGGACGTTCAGGAAGACTTGTCGAAGCTGTGCAGTTTATCGAGGACATGACCGTTGCTCCAAATGATCTCATATGGCGCAGCTTGTTATCTTCGAGTAGGATTCACAGAAATCTTGATGTTGGCAGTAAAGCTGCTGAGCGTCTTCTTGAACTGGACCCGTTGGATGATTCGGCTTATGTACTTCTATCGAATGTATGTGCCACCAATGGGAAGTGGGAAGAAGTTGACAGATTGAGAAGGAAGATGGAGTCGATCAATTTGAAAAAAAGACCAGCTTGCAGTTGGATTAAGGTGAAGAATCAGGTTAGTGCATTCGGCATCGGGGACAGGAATCACCCACGAGCAAATCAAATATATGCAAAGTTGGATGAGATTTTGCAACTGATCAAGAAATTGGGTTATGTTGCTGACACTTCCTTTGCACTTCATGACACCGATGAAGAACAGAAGGAACATAACCTCTGGAACCACAGTGAAAAACTTGCCCTGGCTTTTGGGTTGATGGACCTGCCTCAAGGATCTACAGTGAGGGTCTTTAAGAATCTTCGAGTTTGTGGGGATTGTCATTTGGTGTATAAATTGGTCAGCCATGCTGTTGGACGAGAGATTGTGCTGAGGGATCCCTATAGGTTTCACCATTTTGGAGATGGAGAGTGCTCCTGCTCAGATTACTGGTAGCAATCACCTGAGATCAAACAGGAACTTGATCGTGAGCATGTCAGTAGAACCCAAACGGGGAACAGATAGACAAAGGGACAATGACAGTTTCTTGATGTAAAATGACACAGAACCGAATATAAGAGGAGGAGCTGCACAAATTGCACTGCAGTTTTGCAATCTCTGGTACATCATCGACGACGCCAAGGATAGTTAATGACGAGATTCTTTGCTTGATAATTAGTGAATTGTTCAGTTTGACCCGACAAATCATTGTATTGTGCATATATTCTCAATTATCTTCATGTTCTTTAACACATTGCCAATTTTAAAGATGCTCGGAGGTCATTATTAGGATTATATGGTCTATTACATTCCTGTAATACAGTTGTTGGGATCAAATCAAGTTTAGCAGCACGATCACACCTCTGATGTTGTCGTAGAACTACAAGCTGTGCACGTGGCATTAAGGCAGACACGGTGGTGCTCTTCGGCGATCAATCTCCGGCGTGAGCGAGCGACGACGGTCCATCGCTAACTCACGCCGTTTGTTTGCTCGATTCAAATATTTCATGAAGCACCTTACGACGATGATGAAGTTAAATCAGCTAAGAAACATCCAACATGAGACCCTATGTGCTCAACAATCCATCAAATGTTACGAGTGTCTTAACTCTACTTCATATGTCGAAAGATAACGAGGGTTTAATGATATGAGGATCGACCATCAACATCTCATCCTCGGCCAATCGACACTTATCCGATACATTGCCTCCATCTAGTTGACACATAGCTTTCACCTAGTCGACACATCATGATATTACCGATTTTGATTCGGACCATCGATTTCATAATTTTAATTTTATAATTATTATTTTTTAATTTTTAATTTCAAAAATAAAAAAATTTGACTGACCCGAATCGAACCCATTTGAATCGGATCGAAATCACTAGTTCCAATTTTATTCCCAAATCGATTCTTATCGAATTGATTCTAATTTTTAATGTCGATCGAAGAATCGAAACAGTCGATTTTGGAATCGTCGCCTATCTCGTGCTCATATCGGCAAATATGGATGGATTCATGCTGACCCTTCTTATGCTCCTCCGTTAAATTAGTTCGGAATAAATTGACCACACTTTTCCTGCCCGCCGCCTCCGATCATTCTCATGGGTCCCACATTTGCACAGGAAGCTTGGCTTAGTCGACGGTGGGTAGTAAGCGAAGGTAAGGAACTGAGAGAGAGATAACATAACGTGGGTACGGTTGACTCTTCCGATACCTCCTCTTTCTCCTATCTCGACGGCCGACCCCACGGCCACAGCGAGAGCGAGAGCGAGAGAGAGAGAGAGAGACCCCTCCCCGTCTGCGTCTCCCAATCGACACTCTTCGCTCTCTCCATCTCAAAGCCTTCTACTTCCTCTTCGAATAGAGGATTCCCCTAAGCTTTTCTCCTCTTTCCACTCACTGCTTCCTTTTCACGATTAGTTTCCTCGGTTATTCCGTCTCGGCCGGTTGGGTTGTTATCTGCTTCCTCAGGAGGAAGGGAGGGAAGGGGGATCTGCTGCGGTGGTGAAGGGTTAGGGTTTCTTGACTTCTTGATCGGTTGTTTTATTATTATTATTATTGTTTTGTTTCGGTATTGTCGCGATTACGATGGCCGCTCCACCTGCTAGAGCACGGGCCGATCACGATTACCTCATCAAGCTTCTTCTGATCGGCGACAGCGGTAAGGGTTTCATTTCCCTCTCATTCCGACGAATGTTAGCAATTGAAGTTCTTCTTGATTTGTGGAATACTAGATTTGATGTTTCGGTATGTTTGGAACGAATCGTCGTAAAAGGGTTTTCTAGGGATCTACCGGAGGTTACGGATCGGTAGCCATTTGAGATAAACATGTCTTACTTGGGAAATTCGTTTACTTGTGTCGAATACAATAAGGGAGCTAGATCTTGTTGGATCGTATACTTTTGACTGGCGCAGCGCACTAGGTTTCTTGTGGTATGGCATCCCAAGTCGATCATTTGATGCTCCATCCTACGTTCCAATGCGTTCACCTTTCTTCTACTATTTCTTAAGAGAAAGATAATCGATTTTTTTTTCTTTTTGCCTTTTCTTTCTCCGGTAGGATGCTTTGTCATCGAGTTTGTTGTATAACCTGCAAACCTTTTTTATGATCAAGAAAGTATGGTAAATTGGTCTGTTTATGTTTTGATGCGAGATGCTTATTATTGTGGATATTCTAGACATGCCAACAGATTTGAAGCAGTTTCCAATCTTTCTGGTAGCTTGTAATTCTTGATGTTATGTTTCTGTGACCCACGTTTGGAATTGGATGAGTTTTCAGACTTACTATATTAGACGTATCTTTTGGTCTACAGCATGAGAGCCATGACGATCTTCTTCTTTCTTGTTGGCTGGTATATGTCCATTATGCAAGTGCAAGGACCTTGGATGTTCGAAGTTTGGGTGCTCGTGACCGATGCATGAGAGATGTGATCAGAATCTTGAAACCCATAGGTGGTTGATGAGACTTGGATATATATAAATCTTTTTGCTGGTGCTATCCTTTCTATCTATTCCTTACCGAAAGAAAAATAGGATCTACAATGATAATTTTGATGAAGATGGTGTAAAATTCAGTAAAGATTAGAGTAATTGTGGTAAATTTACTATGCTGAATCAATTTTCATATTCTACTTATTCAAATCCTAAAAGTTAAATAGGTCTCTGTTTTGTCATGTAAATATGTTGTTATGATCATTCCCTTGTTAAAAAATTGTATATTTAAGCAATGCATTGTAACTGCTCCAAACATTATGTTCAAGTATGCTTTTTCGTGTGACATTTTATATGCTTCTATTGAGGAGATGGGATTAGTAAGAAGTTGTAAAGTTTATTCGACACAAGGAGCAAATTTGTACAGTGGTTGAAAGGGCCATCATTGCAAGAGGTGTTTGGACATCTTGGATCTATTGTTCAACAAAGAGATTATTGTTGAAACTTGATGGAAGAGAGGATGGAGATCAGTCTGAAGTAGTTAAAAGTATTATATGATTTCTGGAGGGGCCTTTTGAAATTGATGGAAGAGAGGATGTTGAGATGGATGCGCAAACTTGCAAAAAAGGATGGAACAAGAATTTGTATATTTTATTGAACAATTAGGGATAATATTGATCATGATTGGAATGAGTGAAAACTGTTTCAGGCGGTTTGGGCATGTTCAAGGGGAACTTAAAAGTTTCGTCAAAACTAATACACATTATTGGTGCCCCAGTTGAGGTAAAAAAAAAATCAAGATTCTTGATTTAGCAAGTTTTGTTGAAACTTTTTGATGGTCTGTTGTACTTGTCTGAGTGGTATCCTAAACCGGTATAAGTTAGAGCTTCTTGTTAGTTGTTCTGGTTGTTTAATGAGGGCCATTTTAAAGTTGTAGCCTGGAAAGGCACCTGAAGGCTGAAATCTTGGTTCATCAGTTTGACTACAACTGAAGTGGTCTCTCAGGGCTCAAGGAGATTACGAGGACTTTTCTTGGCACGTAAGATATGCTTCCAAGCGTTTGTCACTGTCTAATATGATAAAATGATTAAAACATTAAAGCAATGTGAAGTATGAACAGATTTTTATTTTTATTTTTTATGCTATTAGAGATCTGGTAAGGTTAAATAATGTTGATTACACTCTACTCATTTGTCCAGAGAAGGACTAGGTGACCTAATATACAGAATTTTTTGACCATTTGGATTAATGTTATTCTGTGTAGTAATGCCCACTTGTTTTAAGATCTCTGCTGATACTTTAGGTAGTTGAAACGATTTAGTTACTTAACACCCAGTTGTTATTGCATGCTCTAAATTCATTCAGTTAACTGATTGTAACTATTTTTGCACTAAATTTTCCATTATCTAAGATAAAGAATGAAAATGAGAAAGTATGCAGTCATATCTAGCAAAGTGCATTCTTACCAACTGACATTGAAATAAAAGAAAGTTCTTACAAGAGTTTGTCTTTGAGATGTTTATGGGTCTTTTTTCTCTAGGTGTTGGGAAGAGTTGCCTCCTTTTGCGTTTCTCTGATGGCTCCTTCACGACAAGTTTCATTACTACTATCGGGTGGGTTATGTTTCAAGCACTGTAGATTATTTTTCATATTCTTATTGACATTTACTAGTGTTGTTGTTGCCCAATATCTGCAAGTTTTAGCTCTGATTGCAATATCCTGGACTGTACACAGTATTGATTTTAAGATAAGGACTATTGAGCTGGATGGCAAACGGATTAAATTGCAAATTTGGGATACTGCTGGCCAGGAGCGATTTCGAACTATAACAACTGGTAGTTCTTTTTGTTCTTTTCGTTTGAACTTGGTATTTTACCGCTTGAATCTCTTGATATAGGTTTGTTTTCTTAAAAGTTTTGCTGGAGTAACTTTCCTATTTTTCTTATGTTGCAGCTTACTATCGGGGTGCCATGGGTATCTTGCTTGTTTATGACGTCACTGATGAGTCATCTTTTAACAGTAATCACCTTCTACGCTTTATCTATATAGCTTAGTGTTTACATAATTTTTGTTCTGATCCCCATGGTGTCGGGTTCTCACGACATGCAGACATAAGGAATTGGATCCGCAACATTGAACAACATGCTTCTGACAATGTCAACAAGATTCTTGTCGGTAACAAGGCTGACATGGATGAGAGCAAACGGGTATGTTTCCCTGGTCCATCTTAGCTGGTGTTTTGTATATTTTTTCTCCCAGTTGTTCTGGTCGGTCAGGCCCCTGCCAACAAGATGTTTAAACTTGTGCTTTTACAGACTGTGCCGACTGCAAAGGGACAAGCACTTGCTGATGAATATGGAGTCAAGTTTTTCGAAACGGTAATTAGTAATATTTCATGCTTGCTTTGACTTGTATGATTTTGTGGTGGTTTCTACTTTTCTACTCCCTATTAACTTGTGTATTTTCCAGAGTGCAAAGACAAATCTAAATGTGGAACAGGTCTTCTTTTCAATAGCTGGAGATATCAAGCAAAGACTTGCGGAAAGCAATAACAAACCTGAGGTAGAAAGAGTTCTTTGTGATGTTAAAACAGAAATGTACCTACCCTTGGCAGGGAGGGAGCTTAATTAATTCGTTGGTATCAGGATCGGACAATCAAGATTAACAAACCAGACCAAGCAGCTGCTGAAGGTACTGCAGCACCGAGATCAGCATGCTGTGGATCCTGAGACAATGATGGGATCGGATGTAGGTAACTGACGGGGTGGGTGGGTGCTTGTAATTTTAATCCTCATAATATTTGTTCATTTATGGACACCATATTTGATCGAAGCTCTTGTGGGTTTAATCTCGAGCGATATTGTTTACTGCTTGTTCATCTTTTGTTGCACCCTTGCAACACGGAAAAGCCTGAAGATGGCGGACAGTAGCAAAATTTGTCTCGATTTGGTGCCTTAATAATCTTTTTTTGACCAAGAACCAACGTGTGATATTTACACACAAGGTAAATATCACAAGAGTACAAAAGGTTTTTTCCTCCATATAAAATACAAAATGTTTGTGCTCGTGTGGTCTCTCTCAACTATCTTTGGCACCGCTAACAGGAACACGCCTGCCAAGGCCTCAAGTATCTTTGACATGTGACGCAACTTACAAAACCATGGTAGATCAGTTCAAATAATTCACCATGGAAATCTCATCTGCAAGCTTCGTATCATCCTCCAGAGGCGGGCATGTTCAAGTCCACAAGCATGCCTCTTCGATCACGGGGCGTCTTCTCATCGACGCCACCCACGCACGAGACTCCTTCTGTCATGGCCCTGTGCCGCCTCATATGGCCTCCGAAGGCCTGTCCGACGGCTAACTCGAGTCCTCAGATGGAGCACTCGTGGACTCTGGGCTTGGCAGCCCCGACTTGCGTTTGACCATGGCGGTCCCCGACCGGCCTCGGCTTCTTGTGTTTCGCTCGGTGGCCTCCGAGCGCTTGGAAGGAAGGGAACCGGCGGCTGCATGTCTTGCACTCGAACACCCGTCCCGACGGCGGCTGCGCCATGTGTTCTTTCTCTTCGACTCGGCCACCGCCGCCTCCTCGTGATAGAAGCATCAACACATGGGCCAACTTGAGGCTGTCCATCTCTCCTCCTCCTCCTCCTCCTCCAAGTCTATTCCTCTTCATGTCTCCTACCCTGCGGAACCAAATGAAGCTTTCTTTCTTCTTTTCCGACCAGTAAAGTAGATAGAAGTTGTTGCCGAGCACGGAGTGGAGCAAGTGATGAGATAAGGAGGTGCCGGAGACTGATGCTTGTATATGTAGGTGTCCATTGCTTGGATAAGCTGGTCTTTGGGTGACCTTGTTGACACGTAAACGGCATCCGGTGACGATGAAGGGATTGTGTTCTTTTGCTTGAAGAACGAAAAGTGGCCTTCTTATCCTGTCGTGGATTCGGAAGACTACTTATCCTCTGACAACATAAAAGTTCGAATAAGTCAGCAGCAGCAGAACTGCGGTGCAAGTTCGACTGCCTCCACCGTCGATGACTTCTTTAAGAAGGAAGTGGGGAGCGTACACATGAACGACGGAAGCAACCCCTGATTTGGATACTGGACGAAACTTTCCGAGTGTAAAGGCTTGTTGATGAGTATGAAGAGAGTCATCGTCCCATGTTGCCGTGGTGGTTTCTTGTGACTTCTTCCATGTTCTGGATCAAGTGTCAAAACTTTGGTCAGCGCCCATCGATCTGTTCTTGAAGACAGACTAAAGTGCACAGACTGAAATAGGAGAACAATGGTTTAGTACCCAACTGTTGCACCGCATCCTAACAGCAGCTCAAAAAGATAAGAAAGAATAGCAAGCTTGGCAGAATCTACATTCCCCGTTGCTGGGCAAGTCAACGTCGTATTGCTTTATATGGAAAAGAAAGAAACGGCAAGGCAGCTACGCGTGTGGCTGTAACACCTGTAAAACATAACAACATCACTCGGTCATGATGCATTCTGCAAGACACTGCATATGTCCTCTAAGCAAGCCAACCCATCCCTCTCCATTCTGACCTACCGGATGGAAGACATGGTGTCATTGTTCCTTCCATGTGAGGATGATTTGACTTCAACATGTATAATTAACAGTTCAGGCACAATACTAAGTGAGAAAAGGATGCTGTAGGAGTCAGAATCCATTATTTATCATCAACCTGCAGATTGTCATCATAATCGTCAAGAAACAGAGACTGAATGCATTAGGATTTCACAGAAATAGAAACTAATGTAATGAGTCTTTCTTTTCGGCAAATGTAGAGTTGCTCTTAGGTTTTCTGTCAACTGTGAATAGGACTGAGAACTGTTCCCTGCTAATTGCCAATCGATCTTAGGTTCAGCATACCCTCCTACAAAACTTAAGGGCTGTTCCCTTCTTGTCGGTCTGCAAATGGAGATCTCTAGCTCATCCCGGAAGTCTCATTTGGAAGAGGCAATATACTTGACACACACAAACAAACTGCCTCTTGGCCATCGAATCCGATGAAAGAAAAACAAACGCTGTTCGATAGACGTCTATCAATACCCTTTGTTGGGCATACGGTCAGAGAGAAAGAAAGCAGTTCAACGATCACCTCAAGGTGGCAATCTACAAGACAGATACTGGGACAATTGATCTCGCAGTGTGACTCCATTATCGTCGGCCATGTCGCAGAGTTGCTGCTTGTAACTTGTGTCATGTTCATGAGACCAGGGCATCTCATGTCTCACTTCATCATCCAAGTCGATTATTATGTTCTGCAGCAAGCAGCAGACGAGAATTATTCTTGGCAGTCTATGTTTGTCAGGTCTCCACATCACCCCCTGAATGATCTTCCACATAGCCTTCAGCCTTGCCAATGCCCTCTGTGCCACCACCCCGGCCGCAGAAAGTCTTTTATTGAACTCGGTTTTCGCATCCGAAAGATCCTTCCCCTGGTAGGGAGTGAGAAGCCATGGAAGAAGGGGGAAGTCTGAGTCTCCAATTATGTATTCCCTCAATTCTAAACCTTTGGGAATCTCCACCGTGTCTCCATCCAGCCTTGCGCCTTTCTCACACATTTTAAAGAAGCCTGAGCTGCGTAACACTGGCAACTCATTCATGCTCCCGGGCCAGCCGGTGACTATATCTCGGAACCTCATATCAGGGTCAATGATAGCCTGCAACACCATGCTGTGGTTATTCTCATGGTCAACCCATATTTTACTGGAAGAGTCTACTGTAGATAGGCACATCATAATGTGGGTTGCATCAATGACACCACAACAGTTTGGCAAACCCCAGATCTTTTCAAACTTGGACTTAATGTCTTTCATCTCTTGAGTGGTTGGCCATTTGAGATGGTGGAGAGCTCTCTCTTCCATAGCTTCCACAAACCGCCATGTCACTTGGGCGACAGTTGACTGGTTCATCCCAAATGATACTCCAACATTCAATAGTGACTCACCAGAGCTTAATCTTCTCAAAGCAACAGCAACTTGATCTTCTACAGACAGAAATTTGCCATCCGCAAAAGCAAAATTTGATGTTTTTCCCATCAAGTCATCCCTGACCAATGAGCATATGTAGTCGAATGTTTTCCTTGATATCTTGAAAACCGACTCAAATTTTCTTGGTTCTTCAGATAAGTGTCCTGGAAGCATCAAGAATGGAAAATGTTCACTGCACTCATGAAGAATGGTTCGAGAATATCTCATAAGCATCATAAAATAGCATTTTAAAGCTGCTTGTCAATTCATCGATAAATGCATGTCCATGAATTGCTTTGGAAAGGAACTATCAGTTTTACCTCTCCACAGAGTAAAAAATAATGCATTTTATTATCCATTATAATATGTAAGCAGAGGCAGTTTGCTTTTTAAAATTCATACAGAACTTGCCAAGAGGATAGCTTGCCTTTCACATCTGAAGTATATCCCATCGACTGAAATCAAGCATGCCCACATACTACTAGTAAGTCAGATTAGTTTCTGATGTCCAAACAATAACTTCTGTAATCTATTAGAAATGGCTATCAGAATCACCAGTCTTGCAGAAGTAATAGTAGGCAATTGTACATCATTTGAAATACTGACATGACAAGTCAGATGACTAGAACAGTTAGAAATAATGGTCCTTAGATTTTAGCACTTTTAAGCCAATATCGAAAAGTAACTTCAATAAATAAATATATATATATATATATATATATATATATATATATATATATAGCTTATACAGAAAACAACTATACATGCTAGTGTCGACTAATCATAATGAGTAGTGATGTAGCCCATGAGAAAAGACACAACACAAAGTACTTTAGGCTACACAAAAGCTCCCTTCAGTTCAAACCCATATGTTCAATTTGCAATATCAATCAATATATTGTTACATGCTATTTCAGGAGTTCTGCAACTGATATTCCCTCTATGTTGAAACTAATAGTTGCAAGCTGATCTCAATAATTTAGTGGTTCAATTATGAGGAATACTCTACTTGACATATGTTAGCATTGCCTCTTTTGGGATTGGATATCTAGCAAGTTCCTCATGTAGTATCTGACACATGTTGCTGTTAGGATGAGCAAGACTACATGCATTTAGTATGAAAAGACAACTGCAAATTTGCTTTGACTGGATGGGAAAAAAAATTTTAATGATAAAGATCATGTAGAGGCCATTGGCACATTTCTAAGTAATTCACTCCATGGTAATATACTTGGAAATTTTATCATAGTAAACTGCACAGCTCTTTGTATGGTTAATAACTTGATAATTGTGAACAAAATAAATCCTAACTTGACCATGACTTTTGGTGATCAAGAAGAAAATCATGTACGACAAGAAGATGTACTGAATGCTTGCTATTGTGTTGATGAAATCAGACAAAATCTATGTGAGTTCGTAATATCTAATAGTTCCATTTGCTTGAAACTTTCGGATAAGTGACAGGGTTAGCTACAGTGTTCAAGAAATCTAATAGAGTCAACATTCAACCAGAAGTTAATCGTTGACATATACCAATATGATCATTATTTCTAGCAAGTAAAAATATAAATTCTTTCTTTACTGAAGTTGTACAATGAAACTACATGAGAAATACTTAAAGCTCTCTGTCTATACCTCCAATAAATACCAACAGCCATCGTATGGCTATCACTCAGCTATCAACTATTAATCGAAATGTTTATGATAAATAAACAATGCTCATTTAGCAACAAAATAAAACAAAGTATCAACTAAACGCAGTCAAGCAATCTTCACAAGCAAAAACAAAATATGCAGCAGCATTCTAAGGCAAATTGCAGGGAGCCATTTCCAAATCCAAATTTTGAGAATATTCCAGTGATTTAAAAAGCGCTAGGCACCAAGGTCCAAAAACGCCCGAGGTTCTCGCCCGAGCGAAACGAGGCGCTAAAATATAAAATTATATAATATAGTTAATAAATATAATTATTTAAATAAAAAATATGATATTAAATTAAAAAATATTATAAAATCACAATATCACATTAACAAAAAATCTCAAAATTCAAAACAATAACAATAATTTTAAATAATTAAAAATTAACAGTATTAAAATCAAAATAATATAATATTAATCTAATAAATAAAAAAAATATTGTTACTAGTATACAGTTAACAGTATACCGTTAATATACTGTTAACAGTATATTATCAAGTCAATGTGAGAAGAGGTAGCGGCGAGCAACGACAACGGGAACAGGAGCGGGAGAGGCGAGCGGTGACAGTGGCAGAGGTAGCGGTAGTGGTAGCAGCGAGAAGCGACAGTGAGAACGGAAGCGACGAGCAACAATAGTGGCAGCGGTAGCAGCGAGAGCGGGAGCGACGAGCGGTGATAGTGGCAGCGGCAACGGTAGCGTCGAGTAGCGGCGAGAGCGGGAGCGACAACGGGAGCGGGAGCGGCGAGCGACGATAGTGGCAGTGGTAGCAGCGAGCAACGACAGCGGGAGCGGCGACAACGGTAGCAGCAAGCAGCGGGAGTGGCGACAGTGGCAGTGGCAGCGGTAGCAACAAGCAACAGCAGCGGGAGCGGCAACGACGAGCAGGGTTAGGATTGGGAAGTCGAGAGAAGAAGGCTGATATCGGTGCTTTAGTTGGTTCGATTGAACCAACTAAAGCACCGAAGACCGAACCAGACCTAAAACGCTGGTTCGATCGCTTGGTTTAACCCGGGCGCTCGCCCGAAGCGCCCAACGCCTTGGCTCAAACGAGCGCCCAGGAGACACCTCTTTGAAGCCCACTGCCTGGAAATGAAGCGAGATGCTCGGGCCTTGCCTCGCCTCGCCTCACCAGTGATTTAACTACTTAGTGCATATCTCGCTTAGCACATGGATGCCTCTAACAGATAAGCCATTTCGACCACTAGAGAAGTTGCTGAAGATATTTTATCGTTCCATGATTATCTACAGATTTACTTGTCTTCTCTCCTTCTGGAAAGACAACCCTTGGAAAATGCAAAAAACTGTTGGACAGTTCTTTAGTACATTTTTTGCTCCCTCTAGTTAAATCCATTGAATATGGACAATAATATGACATTAAAAAAAAATCTAAACCCTCACATCCATCATGAAATCCTTTTAGACCCAAGTGTTGTTGGTGGAAGAAGATCAAAATATTGGGCAGTTTTTTAGACCGTTAGGGAGGTTGCTAGTCATTATAGCATATTCAAGCAACTACAATATCTAGTAAGATAACACCAACTCCTTTTATATCATCATGAAAGGATTTTCTTAACATTTTCATAACCAAATTACTCTCTACTTCCAAACGAAAGAGGCCACTATAATGCAAGATGGTCTTGAGAAAGAGGAATTATAAAAAATCCACCACAAGCCAACAACACCTCTGATAGGGAGAAAACTCACCCCCTAGTCACAGCTCGCCACATGGCATCCAGCTCAGCCTATCGAGCGGGACTCGAATGATGTGGCAATCACCTAGGCCCAACAACAATAGTAAACCCAGGAGGGAATATCCAGCCCATACCATAAAATATTCCCTTGAGTCCAACCTATTATAAAGGCCCATCAATTTACTGTTACCCAGGTCAATTATTGTTCACCCGTGACTCCACTTTCCACTTCGGCCCTAACTTGAGCGTTGAAGGGACCGAGTCGGACACCCAACCAAACACAGGTCTTCTTGCAGGTCGATTTATCGGCGGACACCCAAATCGCCTTCGGACTTTTGCGCACACAACCTAGGATTAAGTCGGGTTGACCAAGGCATCACTGATAATCACTCCATCAACCTCTATGTATCAGTTTTCCATAACTTGTTCTTTTCTCGGAAGCACGGTTTAATAAACTGCCCAAAACTAGTTTATCGACATTTTGCTAAATAGAAAGGGAAGAGTGTGGAGCCAAAGAAGTCTCTATTTGGTGCTCATTAGTTGTGAAGTACTTTAGGATACAAATATTGCGAACTAAGAGAAGTAAAAGCTTTGTTAGTGGCATTATCTCTATATTTAGAAGCTTATACAAAAAGTTTGTAACATGAAAAATATTTGTAATTTCTTGGATTCAAGCATGATATTGGCATCAAGATGATTCCAAATTATGTAGAGATAGAGAAAATGCCATGTGCTACAGCACAAGACCTTGAATCGTAGCACAGACTACTCAAATTGAACAGTGGAGTTTTCTGCTTGCTGCAGTTGAGATGGTAGAATTTCAGATATGAGTTGCTAAATGTAAAGCTTAATAATTAGAGGAGTGTCATCATTTGATGCTCGTTCACAGCACAAGTACTTCATGATACCCGGAATACAGCACCCAGTGCCTAGCAGTTGGTATCGGTTTTTGCAAGTTTTTCTAAAGTGTTTCTTCAAGGTAAATGTGTTGAAAGCATCTGAACACTTTGGTTTTTTTTTTTTTTGTCACACTTCTAATTTCAATTTTTCTTGTTTTAATATGGCATGTTAATAAGTCATTGAAAGATGATCACTTGCTATTGTTTTTTATTTTCTTTACGAGACTAGTCCTAGCACCTTAGGGCAAATTTCAATCAATCCTTTTCTTTCTATTTACTGTTGTTTGGTTCTCATACTTTGAGGATTTCACGATGTAAAAAAATAAAATAAATCCATGATTACAAGAAACCCTAAACCAAATTCCTCATGCTTCACGGAGATCATAGCATCCACACAATAGATCAAGAAATTGTCATCTGATGTAGATTTTGCGATAATGCAAACAAAACAAGATATTCCTAGTTTGTTCATCAGTCGAGCAGTCTAACATTCACCTCTAAGATTTGAGATATTGTAACAAGCATGTGTTCAGGCATTATCATTTGCTACATTGAGTGTTTTATGGTAGCAACCATTCGCATTACATAATAAGCCGACAATTAGAGCAGGAATATCACTCTAAAGACATCCCCTTTCTTGATTTCATAAACTCCATAAAAAGAACCAAATCATAGATATGAATCCACTATTGACAACACGAAATGCCTTGATGATTGATATATCTTGAGGGTCGACATTATTGCCAAAAAGAAGCATCTCACTCCAAGAACATGACCTTCATTGACATCCAGCATCCCCAATCGGAAGGTGTTCTCGTACTAGATGTTAACCATTGTTACTCCTTAATCAAGATGATATTGATGCATTACAATTACTGGAAGAGGATCAAGATTCTAATTCGGGCCCTTATGCATTACCAGAGGCACTCGAGAAACCCAATCTAACAAGCCGAAGACTACGAGACCCATCGACTGCGATCAAACTCATACAAGAAAAGCTTGCCCATTCGAGACCACCGATCCCACGAAATAGAAAATGACCATAACAAACGAGAGCAAAGCAGAACAAGAAGGAAGAAAGGGAGGCACCTGTAATCCTTCTTGAGAAGTCAACCCACCAATCATCGCCACCCTGCCCCGCCGCCGTCGACGCGGAGGCCGCTACGTTTGTCTTCCCCCTCTTCCTCTTCTTGAACCCTCTAACGGGGCCCATGATCACGACTCTACCACCCCAAACCGGATTCCAGAGCTCACCGAGAAGGATCAGCGCACACCAAAGAAATCTTGAACTGGAGAAAGGAAGATACAGAGTAAGACAGAGAGAGACAGGTCACCGGGCTCCTCAGGAGAAGAGCGAAGAGGAGAGGAGAAAGACAAAGCAGATCTCTCTGAGTGGGGACAGGATGCGGGTAGCAGCGAAGGGTGCCTAGCGCGGGCATGCAAGGCTAGTATACAGAGCAGGAAAGAAGAGAGGGAGAGAGCGGCAGAGGGAAAAGGTTAGTAGGGGAGAGAATGCCGCTGCTTCTGCTGTTGCTTCCATGGCATGCACAACACAATGTTTCCATGGATGATGAGGGTCGAGAGCAGCAGCAAAGCAGTATCTAATGAGGATTTCTTGTCATGGGGCGGTGCAGCCACCAAATATGGAGTCAGGCGTTGCGAACGGGGCTTCGGTGCGTTGCGACCTCGAGAAGACCGAGCCACTTCACGCCCCTGTCACAAGAATCGAAACCCATCATCGGCAAGCCCATTTGATCTGACGGTTAAACAAGTTAATGTCTTGGCTCATGTGATCGAAGGCTTCTACGGGCCGTTACCTGCGTGACACGCAAGGGATTCATTCAGGAAGCCGACAAGTCGTGTGCGTGTCGGACGACGACTCGCGGTGCTTCCTGTCTCCTGTTCGGCGGCTCGGACAAATAGTTGCGGCACGCGGCTGGCGGCCCATGGGCTTCATTTAATGGATCTTATGCGCTCACCATCCTATCGTATGCCCAGTGGGAAATCTTGTTTGACGACAATGTCCTGCAGGTGTTTGATCGCAGGTCTGTGTATGATCCGGCAATGATAGAAGCAGTTTCCCGTGGCGGAAAACTGTGAGACCCTCTACTTAAGCACATCCGAAGGATGGCCCTTCTGCATTGCCATTCAAGCCCGAAGTAGAACCAGTGATTGAAAGGGAGGTATAAATGCCAAATCTATGACAGTCTCTTTCTCTGTCTGAGTCGGCCAATGTGTGCATCCTCGAGCTTGGCTTCAGCGTCCAGGAACCTGTCCATCTTAAATGGGCGTAAAAGTTGAGGAAGGAGGTGGTCCCCTGCACAGGCCTCTGCATTCATGAACAGCACGCAAACTGAAGCAAGGAACCAAATCCAGATGGTCAGGCCTCCGTACCAAATTGAGATTAGCTCTCAGAATAATCCATGGCGCGCCTGCTTTGGGTTCCGCACCAGTCTATTGTATACTTGTTGGGGTCAACGCAATGGCGTGCCAATGACTCGCCGCTGGATTGCTGTGGATCTGATCAAAACACGATGAGGAAAATATCTTGATATCTCCAGTCGACAAGATGTGGGATGCAACAAGGCATTAATATGACCTTGGGGTGTACCTGGAGGAGACTAGATTGGATCAAAGAGGCACTCGATGGTGATCCTTGACATGAAATATCACCCACCCACTGACCGAGACAAAGTGCAACCTGCCACGCCCACAGCAGGACGGGAGAGACCACGTCGGGTTGATGTTTCCGCAGAGCCATCGATGACACCGGCAACTAGAGGCGTCGCCGTGAAACCCAGCAGGCAGGAGGACAAGGCGAGAACGTTAGTGAGGAACAGGATAGCGATAAGCACCACCATGTCGACATGTCAAGAACCTTGGCCTTTTCTTTCTATTTCTGCTCTCGGGGTCCCACTCCGTGGGCCCCAGCCGGCGACGAAGGGTTAGCCGTACCAGCGTCGGCTACCGAATCAGAACTACGGATGAGCTGTGTGCATGCCTCACCAACGAAGAGGAGCACCACACAGTGAGCTCCACCATATCTCATCCTCTCCGTGCTTTTAGTCGTTGCTATTATGATCTAATTATGACAAAGAAAGCCGAATGTTTGCGAGGCATTTTGGCGCAGTGAAGGACGAACATCGCCTATAAATAAATATAAAACAGCGAGGAGAAACGAAGCAGAGGAAGAGCGGCGATACCTGAAGGGCCTCCGTAATAGACATATATGTGCGCGGGGAGAATGGTGATGGTGAAGGAGGAGATGCGAAGGGGACCGTGGACGGAGCAGGAGGACCTGCAACTGGCATGGTTTGCGGCCTTGTTCGGTGAACGTCGTTGGGATTTCATAGCCAAAGTCTCAGGTCGGTGGCCACTCATCAGGTGATGGATCGGAGAATGGTGGAAGCTTGCGGTTGATGCTGTGTGTCGTCTGATGTTGTTGTTGCAGGTCTCAACAGAACGGGAAAGAGTTGCAGGATGCGGTGGGTTAATTACCTGCACCCCAGTCTCAAACACGGCCGCATGACCCCCCAAGAAGAGTGCCTCATTCTCGAGCTCCATTCTCGCTGGGGAAACAGGTGCTACACGCCTTTTCCATAGCTCCTCGTCACTACCGTGAATCAGGCCTTTGATCATCGTAGCTTCTGTCTGCACCAACTCAGGTGGTCTCGAATCGCACGTAAGCTTCCCGGCCGCACGGATAACGAGATCAAGAACTACTGGAGGACTCACATGAGGAAGAGGGCACAAGAAGAGAAGAGAAGCTTCTCGCCTTCGAGGACGACGACGTCGACGTCGCCTGCTGATGATTTCCCGATTGGAAGTGAACCGCGAGCGGAGGCTGCGGCGGGTTGTCAGCTCAGTAGCAGCTGCATGAGTCTGGGGCTCGATGAGGACAGCCAGGGTGCGGATTGGTGCTCCATGGATCAGGCGTGGAACGAGCTGGCCATGCCCGAAGCAATCGACGGACGAAGTTTCGATGATTGCAGGGAGAGTACTACTACTGCATGGCCCCCGTCGATGCCGTCTCCTCCTATGTGGGAATGCTGCACTGCCTCGCTGTGGAAGACGGATGAGGAGGAGGAGGAGGAGGAGCTCAACGGTGCAGCATTTGGTTTATGACTACCATCACACGAGGATTAACCATGCATCGGATCCATATTTTTCTTAATCTGTTCTCCGAGACACATCACAGTAGTAGTCGTAGTAGTAGAATAAGAAGATAATAAACGATCGCAGCCTCCATCGGATGGAATTGTACTGTAGGATAGTGCGAAGGCCCCCAATGCCATAATCCATAAAAGGATTGGAATTCCAGATTCTCCTCGATGAGTTCCGTAAGTTTGATGCTCTTCTAGTGTCCCAATAACAAAAAAGGGGAAAGCGCAGTCCACTTTGTGACAGACTCTCAGTAAGTGATGTTGATACATGCTTGGCTTGCCACTTGGACAGGTGGTGGTGCTCAACAACCCATCCAAGCCACTTTGATCTATAGCTCATTCATCCAACTTTCGGAACCATAGACGACCTGAATCATACAGGGAACAAATCCAAGTCCTTGCATGTGGGCTTCCAAACATGTTAAACAAGTGATCATACAGTTCATAAGAAAACACCTATGCAAGTTCTCATCTTCAATTCCTGCAAGCATTTTGAACAAGTGATCATCTTTCTAAAGTCACAAGAAATATTCAACATAACATTAAAGGATAATTTTTCTAATAATTATCCGATTATAAAACAATTGCAAGCCAAGGCCCCGTCACAACATCAGATTCCTCTTTCATTTCAGGCCTAACAATCAAGTGTGCTTCTTGAATTATATATATTAGTTGCACGTGTAAATTCAAGGAAACATCTCCACAGTTCATGAAAATAGAGTCAATGATCCAAATAAAACCACAAGTATTCTTCAAAGGAATCATTCGTAATCTCTTCAGAGGGGAACATATCCGTAAAACACTACCTCTGCAGGACCTGTCATGTAGACATGGTTGTCCTCCTCCCTCCATTCGATCTCTAATGGCCCACCCGGCAATTCAACGATGCAGTGCTGCTTTGCACAAAATATAGCACACATATATGTAAGTATCAATTTAATTATTCATACAGGTATCAACCTAAAGAGAAATAGCAAGGGGCAAAAAACACGTATAATGTCAAGCGTACCCTTTCGGTGTGACCTTCAAGAACTGCTGCAACAACAACTGCACAAGCTCCAGTGCCACAGGCTAGAGTTGCTCCTGCGATTTGTAAATATTTCCATAACAAGGCTGATTTATTTTGGAATTAAATGTGCTCGTTATTAAAGATCACAATCTCCAGGGATAACTATTTTAACACAGAGTTTTTGCAAAAATATTATTGTCCATACCTGCACCACGCTCCCACACTCGCATTTTTAGGTGTGAACGAGAAATGACTTGCACAAATTCTATATAGAAAAAAAAAGAAGAAAGAAATCAGTCCAAATTACAAAAATAATAATGGATCCTCCTAAGAACATCTAAGCCAGATGCCAAGAGTTTATATGGGAACTTGAAATTTAGATAATTAATGCACGATGAAGTAAAGCACTGACGATACAAAATAACTAACATAATCATGTAGATTTACAGACATCAATTAACTAAATTTGCATGGAAATAAAAATCTTGGTCAAAAGCAAATCAAGAGAGAAAGAAAGAGAAAAGTAGAGAGAGAGAGAGAGAGACAGGTGTCGGAAAGAACAGGTTTTTTTCAGAAGTAAAGAAGATCACAGTAGAATATTTTACTGGCAATAAGTTAAAACTACTAGAGGTTGACAGGAAGAGATCACAGTAGGATATTTAACTGGCAATAAGAGGCTATATTAACTAAGTTACAAAATTCACTGCCACCAAAGATTCTCGAAACTCCAAAACATTTAATTTGACAAGTTTATACCAAAAAAAAAAAGATGATGAACCTGTATTAGTTCGAGAAGGGAACATTTCATGGTGCTCAAACTTTGGACCAATATCTTCCAATTTTATGTCATCCACATGCAGAGCCTGCCCAGGTATAGAATGAGACTTTTTTTAGTTAGTTTTAGCAATTCATATCAAAAGAAACACCGCAGGCATGCATCAAGCAAGATGTTTAAATTCTAAATTTATAGTTCATGCTAAATATTACTTATAATGATAACTTATTAGTGAAATAAGAAACCGTCCAACTATAGAACATTTTAATAATAACAAAAAAAGATTAGAAACAGTCACATATCATTTTAAGACTGAAATGGATTAAATATGATTTAATATATTTCTTTACTATGGTCATCCAAGTACCAAAAGCACTTCAATCCACCCTGGTCAAACAAAACATTACCGCCAGTTCGCTTCTCAAATATGAATTTAGATAACAAGCATTCATTCAAGAGTACAATAACCCTCTTTGTAATGTATTTTGTATCATATCCATAACAGCCTCGATAAATGATATCCACGTGACATCACGTGTGGGTCAATCTAATTAAACTGAGTTCGATGGAAAATGTTGAAACAATGGAGAACAATGAAGTTGAAAAAGAAAGCTGGACTAATACAGAGTACTCTCAGTCATGGTCAAGAGTTGGGAGAACTTATCAGGAAACTCTTTTAGTCGTCAGGACATGCTGAGGGTAGAAGACCCACAAAGGTTGGCCTAAATAGGCATTTGCTTATGAGTTCTACAAATATTATTCTTAATCTTCTAGCTTATTTCTGTTCTTTTCAATTTAATTGCGTAGTTCAAAAGTTACCTCCCTGATATCATTTCTTTACTAAATGTAGTTACTGAAACTGTAACCATACCAACATATTGTATCCTTTCTGGCATCTGTCGCCCCTGACTTTCGAAAATCTTTCCAACTTTTACAAGGCAACCTCTGTTCCCTCTTAATCTTGTCTGGCACCTTTGATTCCCCTAGACTAAGGAGATTCTAGAGGAAGAGGGAGGCGGCAAGATTTGATGTAAGGAACTAACTATCATCTCTGAAGTTCAAAGGTGAACCCAGCCAGCCACATTATGGGTGTTCTTCCTGGGTTCACAAAATTTTAAAGAAAGCTAAATACATATACAGAATTGGTAAGACTTCTATGATTCACCTAAGTAAAGGTGCATATGTCCAACAATTCCATGCTACCAGGTGTAAAAGTTCAGCTAAGCAGTGGCATATCCCCCAAAAAGTTACCTCGCATTTTTTTGAACCAAAAGTTACACAATGTGGATTGCCCATGCTAACACATGTCACGTTCCATGATATGCCATCGACCACAAGTTCAGCTTTAATGACAGACCCATCCTTGTTTGCTGGAATCGTAGTAGGAATGTCTGGTGCATGAAGGATAGGCTGACCCATATCTACCTTTACCTGAAAGAACAGACACCATAAAATAAACCTCAGCCCAAACTTTGATGTGTATGCCCAGACAGTAGTCAATTATTTAAGCATCTAAAAACTGCAAAAAGGATTTGAAAGAAAGAGAGCTGAAAGCTGTTAGATTATTGTGCTTAGAAATCCAAAATGGTGTCCAGAATATGCAAATATAAAGCCCACACACGACCAACACACATGATCATCATGGGCACTCAATGACACTCATTTACTACAAGTAGAATTTAATTAATCTCCCAACCAGAGTCTTAATAAAAGATACAGTAGGATAGGTCACAGAATTTCCACCTAGAATAATTGAAGTTTTCAAGAGGAAATTATATCACCATGTTTAAGAATGATGTCTGAATGCAGGACTAATCAAATGGGATTCCGTAAAAAAGAGACAAACCAAAACTTTATGAGGCAATGTAAGCTACAAAACATTATGTTCTTTGAAAAAGAAAATATCTACCGTTGGAAGACGATAATAGTCACATGTACATACAAGATTGCAAAATGCAGAAACAAAAACACAGATGTCTGTGCAATTAAACATGTATAAAGTAATTCTCAATATAATGCTGCCATAGAACATCTAGAAACACTTAATATAATCTGTATGCAATAAATTAAACTTATAAGGATCAGTGTTATCTTATCATGCTTTTTCATGCAAGAAATAGTTGATGCAACTGATATTCGATCATTGAATAAATTGGGGAAAGAAGAAAAGAAAACCAACACTAAGGAAGACCCACAAGAAAACACATGATGAGGAACTGCTAGCCTTTGGAGAAAAATTAACACAGATGTCAACTGAGAAAAATATCTAAAGAAAAGATTGGTATCCAGTCCACATATAACTTCCCTATATAGAAATAATTTATCAGCATACAGAAAAGTTTTGGCCACAAAAGCAAAAACTAATTCTTAAACAACAAGCCATAATTGGACTCAGACAATCCTAATTAAAACATTAAGTCACACTAAGTATCACATTTAGCAAATGGGCTGTTCTCTTTCTCATTAAATCCTTATTATTGTTTTGATTTTCTTCTAATCCACCAACCAAGATCCTGCATGCCCAGTGAGCTCCACAATCCTACATTTGTTTACCAGCAAGGTTTCACCTGTGCACGTGGGTAAGTTTCACATGGGTTAGATCACCAAGTCAAGAATAGCTCCCCCATGTCCCCACAGAGCCTAAATGGATGATTCTGAATTTCTCATTAAAAGGAAAGTACCAGGAGACAAACCTAGGAGGCTAAATTTTGAGAAGGAAAACTGCTTTTCAGCTAGTATGGTGAAGACCCATGAAATAACAGCCACTAATGTTGTACTTCATGACACGAGAAAAAGTTATAAGCATACAGATCAGTGTGCCAGACGAAAAAGCTTGCAACTTCAATCTTGAACATACCTTTCCATCACTTTGGATTTCAGGAACTATTAAACCAGCACCAGTGTGAATCCTAAAACTGCAAGATGTAAATAGCAGCCAAAATTAGGCATATAGAACTTGTATACAACAGACAATAATGCACACATCAAAGAAAATTATATACCCTTAGAAGATTATCAATACCATATCATAGGTAAATCTGCTCAGGAAAAGATAAACAAAACATCCAAGCTACATATTTTAAAATAGTGGTATCAAACATAAAAGATAGGATAGGAACTGCAGAAACCAGTGACAGCCATCATGTTCCATTAGGAAACTTTAGAGAAGCTGTTATCATTGGCATGCTTTGCTTAAAAGTAATATACCCATCAGCACTGTATGAATCTAAAATATATGTTGTGCAACAGTTACTGGCAATACATAAGGGTACCTAATACATGTATCCTAAATGATGGCCAGGCAATAGCCTTTATGACTAACATAAAATTCATAAAAGATTATATGTCTTGGTCAAATACTTTGTCTTCCACCAGTGTTTCTCCACCTCTAATTATCCAATTCTAACATAAACTTCTGTTATTTTTGGAGGCAACACATCATTTTCGACAATAGATGTGATGCACCAGTTTAGTCCCATGTTGGGAATGAGAGGAAGTTTGTCTTGGTTTAGAAGGCTAGTGATTATCTTGTTTTATTGTTGGTTATCATGGACTTATGATTTAGGACAATAAGGCATAAGTATAGAGTAAGGAATAGATAACTGCACCTTTGCATCCCATGTAGGTTTTCAAGCTCAGTAATGAATCGAGCCAGGCAACGAATTCCATTCCCGCACATCTGTAGACACACAAACGGTTGAATGATCAAGCTCCGCTGGCATAAAAAAGTCATACTACATACTGCCACTAAATATTACTCCATAGAGTACATTTATCTTCCATCCAAATTTTCTTTTCTTGAATCAAATTTTGATCACAAAAAATATTTATAATGACTAGTTATAAAAAAAATATGCAGATTGTTCAATCTCTTATCACAATAGTTATTACGAACTTTTGAAAGGCTTTATTAAGGAAAGTTAGGAGAGTCTCCAAAAGAGCAGGATACCTCCGGTTCGCTGCCGTCCGAATTAAAGATCCTCATGGTGTAATCAGTATCACTGACCCCTGGCAACACGAAGATGACGCCATCAGCACCAACGCCAATATTCCGATCGCACAGCTTCACGGCCTGCTCCGGCGTCACCTTAGGCTCGGAAGAATTCCTATTGTCCACCTATTTGGCCATATGGTTTCCATCAAACATCATTAAAGAGGGACTGAACCCCTAACAAATTGATTAAAGAAAAAGGGGGATGATCATCGGATACCAAAATGAAATCGTTGCCGAGGCCTTGGTACTTGACGAAATGAAGGATGCCAGACTCCCTACGATCGAGGAACTCGACATCGGGGGATTTCTTGGGGGCCTGGACACTCATGGAGGCCGAGGGCGAGCGAGAACTAAGGTTTCGGGAGAGGGGGAAGGACCTTCCAAATCGGAACGGCGAGGCGAGGCGGAAGGGGTGAGCGGCGACGAGGGGATCGCGAAGGCGAAATGACTGTGTAAGGGAGATGGAGGCAGCCATTGAGCCACTCGTACTGCAGTCGCCGCCGCTCGGGCCGGCGAGGAGGCGAGGGTTTTAAACGGGGGAAGGGAATAGGGTCGTAGTCGGACCACGTTGACTATAGACCGAAGACCGAAGTGAAATGTGATTGAGTTGGGTTTGGGTCGGACTTGTATTCGATAGCAACCCATTGGATCCACTGGTATTCGATACTAACGTCTCTTTTCTACAATTGAGTTTGGCATTTTTTTCCTAAAATGTATATATATTAATTTCTGAAGAGAAATCATATATATATATATATATATATA